CAAAGCGCCTCATATGGACACAGTTGCTTTTCGAGAGGGGAGGAGAAGGGAAACTCCCACTCCCACTCCTATCTATTACAAGGAATGACTGAAGATCTGGAGCACTCCAGAACATCTTCTTAAGCTGTATCTGGTCTATCCACAGGACAGGCCCTGTCTGCCAGGAGCTGGACAGAAGCCACTCACACATCTCACAAAATTACTCTAAGGCCTTAATCGTGCACAGGCCTCAGACCAGCAGGGAGCAGGAGACAACCAGTCTCCTGCAACATGGAACACTCTTCCTTCGAGGAAGGAATACAAGACTCCAAGGCTGATGGGAAAACGAACATCACCTCAAAGCCTAGGAAAGGCTTTTTTGACAATTCTTGACCTTGCCCTATTGTTTGCCATTTTCTGATAATGACATGTGGTCGCATGCACATGCAAGCACCTCATGAGCGTGTTACTGATCTCTCTTGTTCTCTTTTTTGAGAGTCAGTTGGTTCTTTGGGTGTCTCTGCAGTTTCACAGCAAGCCCTCTGAAGTAGAGCCAAAAGGAAAGGCAGCATCTGAGGAGATGTGAAGAGGATGTGGCCTTGGGAAGCCACATCTTTGGAAAGCTGGAAGTGATGGTGGAGCTGAGCCATGACCAATATTCTAGGAATTTGCAGATCTGCAAGGAGAAGCAGAGATGCTGGCACAGAACAGGGAGCAATGCAGCAATGGAGAAACTGCTCCTACTGGGGAAAGAAAGAAAAGAACGGGAAGGAAAGAAAAAGGAAAGGAAAGGAAGAAAAGAGAAAAGCTTCCACAGGGCTTCCACAGCAGCAAAGGACAAAACGGCCAGAGAGCAGCCAGTCCATTCATGAACTTCTACAGCTGCTGCCCTCATAAAAGCTACCCAGAAGTCTGCTAGGTATGGGAAAGCAGAAGCATCTTTGCTGTAGGCCTCATATACCTGGAATTGCCCATCCCCTGCTTGCCTTTCTACTTGCAGTTTTCCAAGTACCTCCAAAAAAAATCCCTCACCTTCTTTTCACCCAAAGATGAGTTCTGTATTGATGGACCTTGGCATCCTATCATCTGTACATGTTATACCCCATCCCTCTTGCCATGTTCCCTCTCTGGGAATCAGAACAAGACCAACATCACCAGCTTGACCATGGGGATGCTCTACAGGGTGGCACACAGGACTGTGACTTCAGATAGGTACCAGCGTGTGGAGAGCAAGGTTGGGAGATCATGTTTAACCCACCGATTTCCAAAATCAAGCCTCTGATCTCACTTAGACAAGCCATGGGTCATCTGAAACTACATCCACAAAGAAACTGCCATAGGACAGAAAAGCCAGGGATGGATAGAGCATGAAAGGCAAGGGAGATTGTCCTCAAAGCTGACAAGGCTTTGTGAGATTTTGAGCGATCTGCCAAACTACTGAAATTCTCCTATGCATCATTCTGCACAGGCACTTCTAGAGAAGCACTATAGGACACTGTAAGTAGAGCTTGGCCACTGAGGGCAGGAGCCAGACAACGCTGGGAGCAGAGAGGAGCAGTGGGAGGCCAAGGACAGGACCTGCAGCTCTGAGCAGTGCCTCTCGGGGCCCTGCGAGCCGCAGAGCACTCCTGTCCTTGCAGGCCAGCTCCTCCAGCCAGGCCTGCTTGCAGGGAGCTCTGTCTCCACTGAGGATAACGAGTACCACAGGTTGCTCAAGTTGCCCTGATTTTTGCAGTGTGAGCACTTCTATCTTATGCCCTTATGGAGGGACCTCATCTCTGGCTCCCTGCAGGTTGTCACTTTGGTGAGGCCGAGAATAGCAGGTCACAGGACCTCTCCGTAGGGGCGCTGGGACCAGGAATCTTGGACTCCAGATTTGGCAGCTCTTGGCCTCTTATCTGAGCCTGCTAATGAGCGACTAATTAACGCTATCTAGGGGCACACTCCAGATGGAAGGGGAAGGGGGAGACAAGCAGCCGGACAGGCCAACATTTCAGCTGCCCGCTGCTCTCCCCGGCGAGGCTCCGCTGCCCGGCAGCATCCCGCCGGGAGAACCTGAGACCAGCACCGCTCCGGGCTCCGCGCAGCTCCGCGCATTGATCCGAGCGCTCTGAAAGAAAGCGGCCTGGATATCTGAGACACCTATTGATTGCTCTGTCGGCTCCCTTCCTGCCCCCATCCCCACTCACTTGGCACTGCCAGAGGAAACGGCGCTGCGGTCTTAGGGGCCCCAGATCTCACAGGGGTGCAGCCACAACCAAGCATCTTGCTACGGCCTTCCTTGCCACGGAGGGAGGAGAGGACATATGTGGTGACCCACACGTGCACTCCCCATGGGAACAGCCTGGGTCTCCTCTCACAGAACCAAGCCAACACTTCAGGAGCAAGGCATGGGCTTGAAATCCCTGCTACCTGTTTTGGCCATCTCTGAATACTGCTCCTGCTTCCCAAAGAACAGACTTACCCCACACGCCCAACATCCTGTAGAGGACGTTAGTTAGAAAGGTCTTTCCTGTCTTGCTGAGAAGAAATCATAAAGCCCTTAAGTAGATACAAAATGAACCTCATACCATTCCAGAGGATAGAGAGTGTCTTTACCAAGAAATGTCCCCAGAAAGTTACCAGCCCAACGCCAAATGTATCACGGAGAGACCGGGCATGAGAGGAATCTATTTCTAGATCTCTCATTTAACCACAATACAATTCTCCCTCCAAACTCCAGTCAAAAAAAAGAGGAGAAAAAAAAATGGGTTAACAGACTTCTGGCATGGATAAACCCAAAGAAGAAGAGAGACCTGAGGTGAGAGGGAAGGAGGAAGAGGATTAAAAGGAATAATATCATAGCTTGGGTATCAAGACACATCTCATCCTAAGGAGCACTTGAACATGATTGTTTCTCTGGGGGAGCCAAGATGTCAGGAACTTTTAAAAGCAGGTAAACTATTAGAAATATAGAGCAAGGAACACTCCTGTCCTGGAAGATAAAGGGGGCGGATGAGCTAATAGCACAGCAGATCAGAGAGGGAAGAGACCAATGAACCCTTTATAATCCAAAATCCCCTGTCAATTCTGCATTTCTGAGCAGAAAGTCAAACAATTATGGATTTGCTCTTTCCAGAAAACTCCTGGCTCTATGGAGACCAAACACCACAAAACCATTTTTTTGTTCCTTTTTGGATTTTGCTTTTAAAGATGTGTATTGATTGAATTCCATACACTAATAATTTGCACGCTTCCACCAAGCTTCACATGAAGTTAACTAATTAGTCCTTTTGCAAAGCAATGCAGCACGAGCCTCACTTCACAGCTTAGGAAACTGAGAAAAGGAATAATAAAAAATCCTCTATCACTTGACCACTCAGTGTTAAGATACAAGTGTCTGCAGATTGGTAGTATAGGCTCCTCTTGATGTTATCATGCATTCTTATATCCAATTACTACCAATAAATCTTCATATGGTATAATTCAAACCTCTAAAAGCTATGGGCAGGATCACAGATAGACCAATATCAAAACAAACCACCCTTCACCAGTGGCTGTAATGATGCCCTATATGAATAACAACAGATAATTCAGCACTACAGCAACCTTAAAGGCAAGTTTCAGGTTGTGGTTGATGCTCTGCGAGTGCCTGGGTCTGCATGATACCTTCAGGGTTCTTCCATGCAAACGGTATGATCAGGCCCTCTCATTACCAGCCCTCCCAGTACAGCCAATGTCACTATCATGGAATGGCATGTGGATGAGGGATATAGCTCTCCCAGAACAGATGCAGAGAAGCAGGTTTCCAGCGGTCCTTCTCTTACTCCAAAAACAGGTATCGTCCTTCCAGCAGTAGACCAGGATCCTCCAATTCCATGACCAAGGTCAGGGAGGGCCAAACTATACCAATCTGCCTCTCCTCTCACTGGTAACCTGTGAGCTCTGGCAGGAAGAAATTTAACCACGGATACTCACATCCGTCAAAGAACAGGGCAGGGTTTAACATCTAACCTACATTCTCAACAACACTGGCCGCCGTCACCCTGCCTCTCGAGACCGAGCGCCCCGGCGCGCAGCAGGGCGCACCACGCAGCGGGGAGATATCCGTGGATATACAGATGTATATCCACACAACGGTGCAAGCTGGGCGCAGGCTGGGTGCTGGTGCTTGGCTCCTGCACGCCAGCCTTGCGCAGACCGCAGCGAGCTCCTGGTCCTCGTGGGTAATCCGAGGCCACGGTGCCCTGCCGGGAGCAGCAATGCAGAGGGCTACACGCAGAGCTTCTCCTTCCTTCCCCCTCCTCCCGCTGCCTCTCCAGAGGGACCCCGGGGAAACAAAGCTTTAAAGTCAATCCATAAGAATGTGTTTAATTGCCACTGAATTCCCTACGGTTCACCTTGAATGGACACGGATTGGGGGCAGGGAGGGAAAGAGAGGAAAAGCAGTACAAGAAAGAAGCTGAGCACTGCTCAGAGACTGCTAAACAGATCAATAGACTGAGCACAACACAGTGGGGCGTGCAGGGCAGAGTACCCACAGCCCCCAGACAAACTTGTGCTTCCTACCATCTTCAGAGAGGAAAACTGGACAGGCCTTTTCCACACAGTGTGCCACAGTGCTGCACTAACTCCCTCCTGCCCTTAGGAGGTCAGGCCAACCCAGACTTGGGCAGGAGCCTCTCCTCCCAACCCGGCTAAAACAGCTGAGGGGCAAGGACAGCAACAGCACAGGCGTGAGGCTCCTCTGGGAAAGGAAAGTCACTTCAGCACAGCAACTGTCCTTTATTAGTTAAATTCGCAAGTGACAGAAGGAATTTTCTGCCATGAGGGTACTATCTAGACCTACCCACCTCTCTTGCCTGCCCCCTTACAGTTTATCACTGCCCATGCTGGCTCCTTCACAAACCTCATAGAAAGCTGCCTTGGGAAAGCCAGGGATGGCAAGTGGGTAGCTATTCCAGGAGCTCCTGCAAGGTTTTGCCAGGAAGTGCCAGGTCCTGCCTGGGCACAGAGCGATTCTGAGCTCCACTCTGTCTTACCTTCTTTCAGCATCCCCACTTTGAGGCATTTCATGAAGCGGCAGGCCTGGCAGGACTTGCGCCTCCGTTTCGTGATCTCACATTCGTTGGTGGCCGGACAGCTGTATTCAATATTCCCTGCAAGCAAACACACAGATGGTCACCCAGGAGCTGTGCTCTTCCCCCAGGGGTTCCTCTGCCCGCAGTGCTCGGATATTCCAGGCACCGACAGACTGTGTAACGCAGGCTCGCTCAGACATTTGCACGTACACACAACCTGAGACCATAACTGGCTGCAGATGGCTCTCAAAGAGCCTACGTCATCATTTATTAGAACATATTTCAGCAAAAGCTATACTGATTTTTTGCACTGGGTAAAACCTGTCTAAGGGGCAACACGAGGCTTCCAGGCACACAGTGTCCTCCAGGCACATCATCACCTTGGTCTGCACTGCTCATAATGCATTCCCTGCTGCAGGGAGCTGCAGGTCAGAGCAGCATCCCCCGTGCTGCCAGTCGTGCCCTGTGTCTGCGGGATGGATGTCACTTGTCCTTTCTTGCCTTGCTTGGAGACCAGGGAGCTGGGAGGTGACATTTCTTTCTTCGCTTCCTCCTGCCATCTGACACAGTGCAGTCAGCAGGGATCCAACGGGTCTGGACTGAGATAGGTATATAAGATACTCTGGGTTCATTTTACAGGCCATCTATGCAAACTTCCTTTCCAGTTTTACTTTATTAGTCCTTGTGCACCTGCCTGCCATGCCTTAGCATGCAGCATCAGCATCTCTTTCCTCACTGCCTCTCATTTAAAATCACCTCAAAACACTGCCTCCAAGACCCAACAAGGAGAGAAACATCCCAAATATATTTCTCATCTCACCATATTTAACCATAAGGCAAGAGTGTAACTAAAATATGGATGCGAGGGGGCAAAATGAGAATCTAAGTGTCACCACACTGGATCAGAGTGTAATGCAGTAATTTAGTCCTAGAAAAACACACAGAAATGTCTGTCTCCATTCTGCTATTCACTCTGAAGAGAGTTTATTAACATCTGATGCAAATAAACCCAGATTGGAAATTTAAGCTCAACGCCTTGACAACAACCACATATTTAAGGCACTCTGACTACTGGTTAAAATAGGCAACTCCAGAAAGTATTTTTGAGCTCAACAGTCAGTGCAGAAGAATAGAAAGTTTGCTTGTTTTTAGAGGGGGAAACAAAGACTAAGGGTTCATTCAGAGCAGTAGGAAGGACCGTAGATGACAGCAAAGAGATCAAACATTCAGGACTTGGTGTGTCACTAGGAGATCAGAAAGGGAGCTCACAGGTTAGTCCCACAGGCGCAGAACAGACTTTTGTTCCCACTTCTGCAATGGATTTCTATGTTCTTGTGCAAGACCCGTCACTCCTCGGCCTAAGGACCAATGTCTAATACCTACCCCTATCGGGGGGTAATGATTAGACCGTCGGGCTGAGTACTTGCAAAGCTTATTGAGAATGTGAGTGGAAAGACACACAGAGCTGTGAGGTTCCAAAGGAAGGAAATGCCAGCTGATTTTTCACACTACGGCTATCCCTTTCTTGGTGAAATCCCAGGATCACACAAACCCTGAAGTATAAAAGGTCAAATAAACGGCAGCTCTTCTACCTTGTCTCTTGTCTTGTCAGGCCCTTAGTTTGCCACAGAGCCATCACGTTCCTCACCATTGCTCCTCTGCCCTCAAAACGCAGCTCGTTTGCAGGAGCAGACTGTGCTGCACGCGTTGCTTCCATTCAGACAATATTCCGTCATCGTGTAGGAACTGAATTTCAATAGGCAGCAATGCATCAAGGCCCTCAGAGAACTGAAAATTGAGATTCAGGCTTGATCTCAAGGGAATGACCTCCTGCTCCAGACACAGCTCGAGCACAGTGCAGACCTATGAGTACAGCTCCCTGACCTTGGCATCTGACACTGCGCCCCACGCAGCAAGGAAGAGAAGAGGAACATTCTTGAGACAAAATTAGAATCAGGTCTAACTTTGGAGAGTTTTGCTTTTGTTTCACCTGCCAAAACCAGGCCTAGCGTTCTGGAGAGCTGTCAGATTTCATGCAAAACCAGAAAAGCTTCCCCGTAACTCAGTAGTGCTACGCCAAAAGCAACAACCTTTACAGTAAGTGGAGGCCATGAGTCCCCACCTGGCAGCACGAGGTCCCTTGACACTGAGCTGAACACATCCCCCAGCTTCTCCATGCCTCCAGGCCAAGGTCCTCCTGGACAAACAAAGACCTGGACATGGTCTGGGGAGCCCAGGGACCGCAACTGAGCTGTGACAGTGTCAGACGAGGCTCAGGGCAGTGTGTACACGGTATAGGGACAGCCTGAACATGCAGCAGTCACAGCACTTCTGCACGAGGATCACGAGCGTGGTGCAGCAGAGCTGTGGCTGAGGGCAGTGCCTGTCATTTCTGCAGGAAAGAGGCCCATCACCAGGGAAGGCATCATCTGCATTACCCAAGCAGAACTTGTCTCCAGAACTTCAGCAAACTTCTCCTGTTTATTTTCTGTTGTTGTTGGTGGTGGTGGTGCGGGGTTTTTTTTTTTTTTTTTGGTCTCTCAATTTCTTTTATGGGTCCTGGGGCCGCCTGCCAGCACAGCGAGCTGCTCAGAGCTCCTTGCAATTTCTGTAAGTGCCCTGTGATAAAGTGATGAGATTAACTCATCGAAATTCCAGCAGCCTCCCAGCGGCTGGCGGTCACGGCAGCTCCGGCAGAGCCGAGGGGGCTCCGGGAGAGATGCCCTTTCCCTTCCCTTCCCTTCCCTTCCCCATGGCACCTCGGGCCGCACCAGGCCCTGCAGAAGGGCTTCTGTGCACAGGGGTTTGCACGGACGGGCCTGGATGGGAGCACAGGTTTGAGGCAGGTGTCTGTGGTGAACTGGAGATAACGTGGTCCAGAGGAAAAAGGAAAAAGAGGGTAATCTAACGGGCAAGGCCTTGCTCTGAACTATTGCTTATTAGAAATGTTTTTTCCTCGCTTTTGACGATATTCATGTCAGGTCTAAAAAACTGCTTGGACCTCACTGATGTCATGGCACGAGATTTACCTTAAGTGCAACTTAAAGAAAACAAGAGGCTGAGGGGCTGGTGAAGGGATCAGGGTCTGGGTTTGTTCTGAGCCTTCGTATGTGGCCTTGGAGGGCAAATCACTTCCTCTCTGCGTCTTAGCTTTCCTGTCAGCAAAATAAAGTGAGCATCAAGCCTACCTTCCACAGGCATCATTGATTCATTAAGGTCTAACTGCACTTTAAAGCCTTTAGATGAGAGATGCTAAGGAACCGTCCAGGACTATTAATGTGACAGATCATGTTTTTTATACTGAAGAGCTGCAAAATTACCCCATTTTCTGTAAAATGGGGATCAATGGCTGCTAAGTAGTTTGGAATATCATTTCCAACACACACTTAATAGAAGTATGTTAAAACGGCACACGAGAGCTTGGTTATTGTGAGGAGTCCCCGTGTTCACCATGGGAAGGGGAGCAGGCCTCCCTGAGCATCCCACACGGCTCCTGTCCACGGCATGGACCAACCCCACTGCACAGCCAAGCATGGGATTTGCTCTACGTTGAACGCAGCACGAGCTGCTCCCAGCTCATCCAGGGACCCTGCCCTGCTGTAAACGCTTCTCAGGCTTATCCAGGGAAACTCAGGAAAGATCTTTGAAGAAGAAGGAAAATCTTTAAAGCTAACACTTATTAAGTCTCTGTTTTCTGGAAAAAAAAATCCCAAAACAAACAAACAAACAAAAAAACCCACACCACCTGCAATTAAGCAAATGCCAGAGGAAAGTTCTGCTCTGTCTAGTTTTCTCCTCATCTCTTTTCACCTCAGTCTTTTCCTCTCAATTTCCTTTGCATCTCTGCCCTGCTCTGCACTGCTTCGTGCAGATCTCTCCCCCTTCTATGGGCAAGCTGAGCGCAGGGCCAATGACAGCAGCTTTTCCTGAATTTCAAGAAAAGTGTCAGTTTAGGTATACCTGATTATTAAGTATTATATTCCATTCATCCAAGACAGAAAATCACCTCTTGCAGCCCTGTGATTTGACAAAACACACTGCTGTTGTGATCAGTGGTGTGGTGTCACTCGGTGTGTTCCCTGGGATTTGATGGCTGAGCACAGGAATTCCCAGGAAAATCCATCTCACAGCCCTTTCAGCTCATATGCTTGCTTCCTTTTGTCCTGCCTTTGTAACACTTGCTACACTCTCTTCCCGCCTTGATTCAGTCGCTCAGGCCAGCAGCTGCCTGCACATGATGCAGGAGATGGGCCCCGGGGCTCTCCATGGGCAGCGGGCATCTCCTCCCACCTTTACGTAGCTTCCACAGAAACTACAGGGGTTCTGATGAAAAACAATTGTTTATTCAAGTTTCACACAGAAGATTCCTCTGCATAGAATTCTCTGGACAGTACACTGAAAAAAGAAAACTGAAAAAAAGAAAGAAAATGAAAGGACTGAGTTGCACTGGACATGATTTTCTGACTTCAAGTGCTGTGATAGGAGGGAGTGCTCGGGTACCAGCTACTAGGAAGGCTGCACTTTTACTATTTATGACTCAAAAGTTTTTGACAAGCTCGAAAAGTTCTCCTGTTTTTCAGCTTTTCTCACCTGTGAACTTCCAGGCACATTTCTGACAAGGACAGAGGGACAGGACCGTGCACAGTGGCCACCACAGCCCTCAGGAGCAGGGACACAGCACGGGCCTCGTGCCCCTCGCAGGCCCCTTTGCTCCTGCAGAAGGAAACACACCTTGGCACTGCAACCGTGTCGCTGTCCTCGCTGTGCCTGGTGCTTACAGGATCCGAGCAGGATATCCACAGATGCAGGCACGCTGCTCTGGAATGTGCTTGAGGAATTCTGCCTCCGTCACCACCTGCTCACTCAGGAAGATGAGGGTAAAAGGCTCTTCCCTAACCTGGTCTCCCCTACGTCAATTCTTGCAATTCCTAAAGGGCTCACATGGTTACGTATCACTGTTGCTATTTTAAATATTTAGAAAAGGCAGAAGTGTACACACTGCTAAATGAGAGATGATATATAATGGTCCATCTACTGAAAAGAATTATTCAAAGAATGAATAGTGTGAAGTTAAATTGAAATTTTCTATCCCATAAAAAAAAATCAAGCCTTTCAGTGTTTGCTTTTGTCTCAAATTTGGATGAAAGCATTAGTTAGGATATTCATGGAATAGAATGGAAATTCAAAACATTTTAATTCAGAAATGTCAGAACATATAATCGTTTCTGTAACAGATCTATTTCATTTCATTGAATGAATATGAAATTATTTGTTTCAAAACAGATCCATCTTAAACGTCAATAGTAGCAGACTAGTTAGACATCCGAAACTCGATTTCTCTCCTATTTTGGCTAGATTGCACCTTCCACAATGCTCAAAGTCAGATGATGCCCATGGCACATATTCATACAGAAGACACCTGAATCGGGAAACACAGAGTCCCACTAGAATATAACAGGGACCCAAAGCACAGTTCCCACAAAGCAGTGTGATGATTTAAGAAAAAGCATTAAAAGTTTGTCAGACAAGCCACCGATGGGAAGTGTTTAGAATTTCTGATTGTGCCTCCAAATGCAGGCACTCCAGCTCCAGGGTTCAAACATCATATTTAGGAAGAAAGTCCTACAGGCTTTCTTTACAGGCTGTAAAGCCCTCGTCTCAGGTCTTTGTGTGTCTATCTCAAGCACTGCCAGTGCTGCGAGGGGAAACGACACGGGTTTCTAGTTTCTGTCCTTGCTGCAGGTCATGCAACACAAGAGGAGAAAGGTCACAGGTGTGACTCCCTGTAACCTGCTCGGCAGGTTAGGATGCAATCCAGGCTTAGCTCAGCAAACTAATCACTGCAATTCAGCTTGAAGTTAATTAATAATGCAGATTTTTCTAATTTTTTCCTCTCTCCATCAAAATTTTCCTGTGAGGCATCTGACTTGGTAAAGGTTCTGTTTTCCTTTGAAAAAAAATCTTACTGATGGAAAACACCCTCCCAGCTCTACTGCTGACCTCACAGATACCCAGCCAGGTCCCTGCTAGCTTTCAGCCTACCTCTTTTCCACCAGTTCAAAGCACTGGCCCTCCTAGTGTCTGGGAATGCAGCCTGGCCTCACCTCACAAGGCGAGAAGCAAGTGGCAGAGCTGTCAGGTTCTGCTGCACCTGGATGTCCTGCTGCATGGATGTCTGTTCTTCTCACTGTTGTAGCAGGAGCACGGGCAGAGGAGAGTTTGTTGCAACATCCCTCTGCCTCAAGCCATGCAGATTTTACAGGAATTAATAAAATGTAGACAGAGTTCACTGGGAACATAGAGGGAAGGGGAAGGCTCCACATGAAATTCTAATTCATAGTTAGAGCTACCTAGATAAGGCTACAGTAGAGTTATCACCCAGGAAGGATTTACACTCCATTCACAACAGCATGTTGCCCATGTTACTTATTAGAGTTACCAAACACAGACACAGCAGATTTAGAACTTTTTAAAATAGTCATTGATTTGGCAGATTTCAGTACTCAGGGATGGAGAAGTGAAGCAGCTTGTCCAAGGTGAAAGAGGTCACAGGCCCTAAACGGGATGGGATTTAGCTAGTGTATCTTCTGAGCACCTGGAAAATCTGGGGTCTCAAGTCCTTTGCTGTGCTCAAACCACACAGCCAACACCATTCCCAAAACCACGGTACAAGCATCCCAATACAAGCGAGGGATGCAACTATTTAAATGCTACACATATCTGCACACTTTCTGTACACACATATATATGCATTGGGCAGCCTGGATGAAGATTTTCTCACTAAAACTAGATGCTTGTCCCAGCTACTGGATGCAACAGAGCCGCATGATGAATATCTTTTGGAAATATACTTTCCACTCTCTTTCATGTTTATAATGCATAAAGTCTTCTGCAACATACTCCAGGCTTCAGTCAGATCCAAGAGCTCCCTCTCTTGGGTCAGTCTGCACCACAGCAGAGCCCTGGGAACTGCATGTTTTCTTTACTCAGTCCAACTCTACAGCCCTATTTTCTGCCCACTTCTCCCAGGCCCAGCTTTTGACCCTGCAGTCAGTATTTCTGACCCTCAGGTACAGGGCATTGCACTCTCCCATGTATAAAAGCATTTTGGTGCCTCAGCTACGAGTCCAAGCTGATTAGAGGGTAAGAAAAACCTCCACTAACTCCTTCCCCACACCTGCTACATGTTAACAGGCATCCAGCTAGGGATGGGTAGCTGGAGAGGCACTCTGCCTTCCTGGGAAACTGGCAGACTTATCACCTGGACTGATACAGGCTCTAGTTACTGCTCTGTTGTGTCATTTTCTGTTGAATACTTCCTAAAACTTCTCAAAGTTTCCTTAGGCTCTTTCCTGTCTCTCTAGGTTAAGCCAATCTTCGGCTCCACCACACAGAAGTTCAAGTATTGACCCCAGTCTCTTAAAAAAAGGAGGCCCTAGGGCTTGCCTAGGTGTTCTGCCCTGTCCCTCCTTCAGCACCTGAATGTGCCAAAGAGAAGCACTGGGAACGGATCCAAGGGCTGGAGGAGGGACACAGTCAGTGCTGACAGTCAGAAACGCAATCAGAAGTTCACATTCAATCACAGGAGATTCATCAATGACAAACCACAGAAACCCTGCCAGAGTACAGGCCGATGCCCTAGAGATGGACAGGCTTTCCACATGGCATAATAAATGCACAAGAGTTAGAGAATGAGACAGGCTCTCTCTGTGGATGATAGTAAGAAGAGACATGCAGAATTCAAGAAATAAAATTAGAAATATTTGATTCTGCAGCAACCTGTGCTGAACTGTTTTCTGTATTGCTCAGTCCACTCCAGAGTTGAACACCCTCAACATTGGTGTGTAAACAGCTGCAACTCCTTACATTGTATTTTTCATTCATTTCACAAGAACCAAGGGAATGTTGGCTAAACTCAGCAAACTTTCCACTCTAAGGTGAATGATCCTGTCCTTTTTTTTTTCTTCTTCCTCCAGGTAGGAAGGAAAGTGCATGTGTCCAGGCACATGGGCTGCTTGTGGAAGTACATCCAAGCATCCACGGACATTGCAGCGTGCCTGGATGCCCTCCTGCTTTCGGCTATGTTGCTGTTCCTGCATATATGCACATCTCCTGCATACCTTTGCCAGCCAGGACAGGGACACATATATCAGACCTGAGCTTACATGTCGGAGCAATCTACTACAGATCATCTGTACTCTTTTGTTGTATACTACGTGCATGTCCAAGGCGAACAATGTTTTTCCATGTTTGGTGTCCAACTAAGGGGAAGGCACTTAAGGAAGCGCGTTCCATGCACAGGGATAGCTGCTCTTCACATGGGCCTTATGAACAGCTTTAGAGGGCAAAATTTCTCTTTTCTAGCCCCCACTGCCCTGATAGTCACGCTACTGGTGTAATCTGGGCCGCTAACAGAGGCCAGAAGATCAGCTAGGCCAGATGTCGAGACTTAGTCACTAGTCAGGCTAACAACCTGGTAAAGCTGCCTAGCACCACAAAGCTTAAGCTCAGGTCCAGGCAGGTCTGGAAGGTGCACAGCTGGACAGGAGGGAAGGCACAGGAAAGGAATGGAAGGTCAAAGGCATTTCAGTCGCCCTCCCCATCTCCTATTATATGAAACAGAAACACTGCAGTATCAGCAACGCCCAAAGCCATCTCCCTCTTTTGTGATGGAGTCAATGCCTCAGTTTCCCTCCCTTCCCACCATACCTTGAATAGTCCTCTTGAAGAAGGCTTTGCACGCCTCACAGGAGGCCACTCCATAGTGGTACCCCGAGGCAATGTCCCCGCACACGAGGCACAGCCGCTTGGGAATGGCATTGAGCATGTACTCGCACTTGGTGGGCGAGTCCTCCATGATGGCGCTGGCGCAGTCATCGTACCGCTTACGGCAGGAGCCGCCGCCGATCCCCGCGCCGTTGAACATGGGCGGCGAGTCCAGGCCGTTGGGGTGGCTTCCCATGGCGATGCCGTAGCCGCCGCTGGCATCGGAGGAGCCGCTCGGGCTGTGGTGGCTGATGGCATCGATGCCGGAAGACGGGCTGGAGGGCTCAGTCTTGATGAAGGACCCACAGCTGGAGGACAGGTGCCGCTCCTCCGTGGCCATCCTTCCGAGCAGCCTATGGGGAGAGAGCACAGGCACTCAGCGGCCTCCAGGCCAAACCCAGCTCCACGGTGGTGAAGAGAGAGCCCTCCCTTTCCCACCGCAACCCAACTCCAGTTTGCTCAGGCAGCTCAACACCACCCAGGCCCCTTGGAAGCATCTTAGCACTTTGCTATGAACTATCTGCCTATTCCTCACCAACCTACATAAAGGAGAGTTGTGGCTATTTGAAATTGTGGAGGTCACAACTTCAGGCTGTGGTACTAGGAAGGTACTTGAGTGCTGAAGAGACACAATCTACCCAGAGCAGATCACCCCTAGGGCAGCACAAAGGGCCTCGTCTGTGTCAGGCTGGATGAGATAGAGGTTTGCTTAATATTAGGTGCCTTGTCCCAGCTCTAAGCAAAACAGCAGCAGACCTGGGGCAGGAAGAATGTGCTCAGATCGAATGTTCACTTGTAATACAGAAATCTTTGCTTAATTTTCATGTTGGATTAATTTTCTTCCTCCTCCTCTTCATCAGTAAAAGGGGAGCTCACAGAGGGAAAATTATCTGATCAAAAGCTTCCTCTAGCTTAATCTTAAATCTTAATCTTTCCTGTATTTACTAGTATGAGACTTTTGCACAGAGAAGAAGCTTCTCCCAAATTCCCACTACTTAGAGAAGCTTATGCTCTTAAACAGAAAGAAAGGTCAGTATCTTTACCAGATCTGCAAGTTCTTATTTATGGAAATCATAGATAATATTATTCCTTAAATAAACAATCAGTCTTCTTCAGAACACTTATTTTTTCATCTTATAACCAAGGCAATGAGCACCAGAATTTACTTTTATGGTATACGAACAAAAACATCCACTTCTCTTTGCCAGTACTGTAATATTTGTAGCCTTTTAGGTTCACTGAACATCTCCCAGTTCACCTTCTTGGTAAACATATTTTTGCCAGGTTCTCCTCACTCAACTCTTTATTATCTATATAACTATCTATATTATCTATATAATAATCTATATTATCTATACAATGTTGTGATGTAGGATTTTTTTTCAGACTTCTCACATGCCTCATCACCCACCATCCATCTCTCAACTTCCTCTAGTTTGACTATTTCTACCCTGTCAAGACCAGGGTTCAATGAGCCACCTCCTCAGTGGCACAAAACTGGCATAGCTCCACCAATTCTCCAGCTTAAGGTCTGGAGACTAGCCAAGACAAAGGCACACCATCAATTTACCTACTGACATTACCATATTTCCAGGGTTATTTTCAGCCCATCTCTTATATAACTCCCTATACTGTTTGCTTGCTCTTATTTTTAAATTAAAATCCAAATTGTTATCATTTCTTGAAAGAGAGTATCAGAATAGTTGTTGCAATCCTCTCATCTTTTCTGACTTACAATAATTAATTTAGAATCCATTAAGGCATATGAAAAATCAAACGAACACTTTCTGGTGCAATATTTTACAATAGTCAACAGTGAATTTCCTACTAGCACTGGGCTGTGCAATCACCCAGCTTTATTGGGATCCTCTGGAATTCTTCAGGCTTCTCTTGTCCTGACTAACCTTACTAATGCAGATGTTGTCATCTCACTGCTCGCCCGCTTCTCAGATTATTAGCACATACATCAAACATCCCAACATACATCTTTGTGTGCGATTCAATGTTAACCTTTGTCGTGCTGAAAATTGACTGCCCTTTCTTTCCTGTACAAGGTATGCCTACCTCTTCTTTTCTGTCTCAGACACTTTTAAAATCCATAATAGTATTAACCTCTCATTGGACGAGAGGTTAAATTTCCCCTACGGCAAGATAATTTATCAACAGCTTTTAAGAAAACCTCAATACATGCTAGCGAATGATTTTCCTGATAACATGGCCAAAGAATTCTGACTGACTGCAGGTGCTTGACTTTTCCTCTTGGAAGCTCTGCTGGTTTAAAGTTACCATACCATGGTCATGAGGGTAATTTTTATTTCTATTTTTATTTCAGTTTCAGCCTATTTATCCCCTATTTGTGGCACCTCCTTCTGCCAAGAGGTCGTGCCCATCAGGGAACAGAACGAAATATTCTCTGTGATACAGCAAGGTTGGAGTGCACACATACATCATGTCTGTCTGTTAGTATGGCTGTACACGTCTGAGATAGAGGAACTTCATGGTTTTGCATCCTTATGATCTCATTCCACCCAAGTATCTCTTAATTCCCCTTCTCTGTTTCACCCTCAATGTTTGACCTCATCTCCAACCTCTGGGATCGATCAGCCAAGTCCGTTACTTGGCAAGTTTGTTGACCTTGAGAGTATGGGCTGGCACCTCATGTTCCTGAGCTGCTTTGCCTGGTGCTACTTAAGAGGAATCCAGCGCTTGGTCCCTTTCAGAGCCGGCGTGATGAGCTGATGAATACTCACACTTTGCCCAGAGGGTCACACTGGCCTAGCAGCCATAAAGAAGTTACAGGAATAACTGCTGCAGGTGCCTTCATCTTTAATCCTATTGTCCTGCAGCTAGACAGACTGCGGATCTCAAGGTATAATGCCAGTTGACAGTGTGGAGGAAGAGGAAGCTTTGCCAGCTGAAACTAGATCACGGCCTCCACAGGTTTGGCTCATAGCAAGCTGAAAGCTGCTTTGCTGACCAAACTCTGGAACCTTTCCCTAGCCAAGACATGCATACGCAACACCAACCTGAAGATCACTGGACACAGAAACAAGGTAACATGAGATCAGCGTTAAAGTGAAAGGCAGAACTATCGTGAGACAATTTTCTGCACTGAGGAATACCATGGTAAAAGGAATAGGAGCTGCAGTGCTAAGAGCAGAGAGAGGACAAGACTAAGAAAAGGCATGACCAGAAGGCGAGTTGTACTTTCAGATTCAGTCAGGGGAGTTTAAATCTCATCTTCTGTCTCTTAAAAATGCAGAATTCACAGGCTGGAAAGGCATCAAGAGACAAGAGATGAGATTCTGAGCTAGATGAGAAAAGATATTCAGACTAGTATCTAGTAGGAAAATTTGGCCTAGAAAGACTCCAGGGAATTACAGACAAACACGGAACTGAAATGGAAGCAGGTGAGAATGCAGGAGATACACCACAGGAAGCAGATGGAGTCAAGGTTAAGCACAGCTTATGCAAGTCCACTGTTTCCTTGATTACACCTACTCCAGCAAGGGAAGAGCATATAATGTTCCTCATACTAGTCATGTATGAGCCATCCTCTACACAGCCTCATCTTAACAGTACCCTTTACAGGTACAAAACTAAACTCATTTAGAGACAAGAGAGCAACAACCCTCCTCCATCCTTACACCTTCCCAAGAAACAGTAACACATAGTGAGTTCTGGTCAGAGTTTAACACATGCCTAGAGTAAAACTCTTTACTGCCAAGACAGATCAAAGTTCATAGCTCAGGTGTCTCCATCCATTCCAGAGCCTGTGTTTCTCTTTTCTGGTCTCTGGAACAGCTTGCACAGCTGATCGCTACTGTTACTGATTACAGCACACACTGAGTTAAGCCACACCAGTTCTGGCTTTCTACAAGGCTCATAGAGATCCCATGGTGATTTTTAAACTGACTCAGACCCTGGCAGTGAAATACAAAATCCTGAACTTGAAGAACAGCTAAATGTTCTCTGCAAAGAGTTCAAAGTGATGAACAGCCATTCTGCCCGGCTCTAGTTACCTTAACAGGAATGTAAAAGGAGAGAGTCTTGATCCAACTCTCCTCTGTGCTGGCACAGGAAACTCCGTTACTATTTCTGTGCCCATGTAAAAGGCTTAGAGGTTCTAAACATTTCGTTCTTTTCACCTTTCCTCATCATAGGTCATTGCCTCTAATCCCTTTAGCATCTCTCTGTGGCCCTTCCCTGGATTCGTTCCAAATAGCCTAGGCGTCTCTCGCAGCAAGGTGCCCAGATCCGCACAGTGCAGCGATGCCCCACGGCAAACACAGAGGAGACGGAGACGCCCTCCGTAAAGCGCAGCCGAGACGCACACGGACGCACTGAGCAGGAGCTTTGCCAGCCACCACTCGATGCCCACTTCCTCGCTTGGGTCCCTCTGCACCTTGGCTGCTTTTGCCACCTCGCTCCACGCAACGTGCAATTTAGAGATTTTCCTTGCCCCAAAGTAGAGCCAGTATCACCTCTAAGCCGCACGCTGCTAATTGCCCCTTGTTTCACTGAGCCAATAATGCTCATTCAAAAGATGAGCATTCAATAATGCTCATCTTTTCATCCTGGCTCTTCCTGCCTCTACTCTGATTTGTTTCTAAGATCTATTGTACAAATTTGAGAACCATGCCTTTTTCATTTTGTCCCAGGACACCAATGAATAATTAAAACCCAAACATTGCCCTCTTGGACACCACCTTTGCAGAAGGATAAAGAAGGTCTCTAACCCTTCTGTTTATACTCTGTCAGCTAATCCACGATTCATTTCACAGGATTTGTATCCAAACCAATTTGATCTCATTTCCCTAATAAGATCTTCAGCAGCTTTGTGTCAAAAGCCCATGGCTGGTCCAGAGACAGTCTATCCTTTTGTCCACTAATTATCTAATTGTATCAAGGAAGGTTACTGTCTGCTGCACTCCCTTTTCATAAACCCGCTGCTGTTTATCACTCGCCATGTGGTTGGCCTTTCTGCACCCACAACTGCCCTCAGACATGCATGTTGTGATCTCACTGACTCTGGAGAGGAATACCAAGTCCCAGTTCAGACCAAGTCTAGATTGGGCTTTAGGTGCTCACAGTTTCCAGCCATCTGTGCTATCTCCCTTGGGCAGGGCCATTACCTTAACATTACAGGTTCCTCCAGTTTTTCTCTAGCTTTTCATCTTTTGTTGCTTCTCTTCAAGGGCTGGACTGCTTAGGGGTTTAATGCTCTCTTGAGAACAGCAGCAACAATAAGAGAAGGAAAGGATGCTGGACAGACAGGATCAGAGAATGGTAAAAAAAAAAAATAGTGTTATGAAATCAAGGTAGTAAATTTTTAGTAAATTTACTAAGTAAA